TATAAAGATAACTTTGTTAATTGAACATTACCTAACAAGCTTTTGAATAATTAAAATATATCACATTCAATGCTTTGAATGGCCGATGATCGAATGGTTGGATAAGTGTTGAATAAGTGAACAATTAGCAACATTAGCACTATTCAAAGAAAAAGACTGATGAGTTCTCAATTTACCCATTTAAATTGACTTTATTGTTGAATGATTTTCTGATTCATCTTATCAACTAATGCTCACTTCACTTGGACACTGACCCTCATTAAACGATAATGCCATGCATTGGAATTGATAAAATTCACCATTTATCGATAACTTACCTGCGTTATTTATAACCATTGAAATGGGACCAGCAATTTGCTTGGTTCGTGCAGCAGTTTCATAGACAGCCTGTCGATCCGAAATGTCGACTTGAAAGGTAAACACAGGTGCACCGAGTTTTTTCACTCGAGCTGCTGTCTCACTCATACCAGCAGCATTAATATCCCAAATTACAATGCGACAACCAAGGCCAGCAAAACGGCAAGCTAAAGCACGGCCCAAGCCACTTCCACCTCCGGTAATAAGAACGGTTTGATCTTTGACATCTTTATATCGAAGTGAACGAGGAACCAAAGTCAAGATTATACCAACAATCCAATGGTAAAGTATTAAAAAAAAGTGGACAATATTGTTGATGGCATCACTTTTTGAATCTGTTGTCATTTTGGATACGGCCAGAAGTTAACGTTGCTGCTCGGAAAAAGTGCACAAAAAACAAATTGGATGAGTACAAAGAGTCACATTAAAATTTAAACACAAAACATGAAAGGCACAATATTCAAGGATATAGAGATACCCAAATTTTTACTTGTAGACTAGTGCTTTGACTAGCTGGTTAATCAAGAGCTAATTAATTAAAATTCGGGTATGTTCACAAGTGGTTTGTTTGAGCTGCAAAATTGTAGTGAAGGCGAGGAAAACAGGCAAAGTTGTCGATTGAACAAAGGAAAGGAAAGTTAAACAAAAAATGGACAAAATGAAAAAACGTTTTTTCTTTTTCTTACATAAATGACCTTCGTGAAGTTGAATAGCAATTTCTTGCAAATAACAAGCGATACTAGCGATGTTGTCTTCTCTTGCTGTTACCACATGATTATGTCTCTCTCACTTTCTCTCTTGTCCAAGTTGTTGGTGAGTTGGATGCAGGATTGTTTGTTGCTTACTGAAGGTAAGTTTCAAGTTTAACTAAGGTGGTAATTAAATGAGAAGAGGAGAAATGAAATTGAATTGATAAGTGAGACGAAGAAATGAAAAGGTACAGATGAATGGATGATTGAGAGAAACAAAAAAGCTATTTTCTTCCCGCCTCTTCCTTTTTTTACTGTAATCAAATGCCTTTTCCTTAGCAAAATCAAATCTTTCTCGATTGGGAGGAGAATGAATCTGTTGAAAGTTATATTGACGATAAAGCCGAGGTTTTAGCTGTTTCAAGCTCATGTTGTTGATCGCTTTAGGCTTTGTTTGGAAGAAGTGAAAAGGCCAAGAATTGCACTTGATGATAAAGGTTCACAATATGAAATAGATTTTGATGACTGATAACTGTAAGATTAATGCAGATTTAGCATGATGATGGTCAAGAGTGAAAGTGAAATATAAAGAAAGAAAGATAAAGAGAGGAAAAGTTAAACAAAATGAAAACAAAAAGGTAGTAATGTTGATGTTTAAAATTCAAGTTTACTGACTTAACGGCAACTCGGTCACAAGAGGTTACCGATCTAACTTGAGACAAAGGTTAACCAGGTTAAGTTCAAGTATAATCAATTACATGTATTAATAGTGCTCGAATAATTCATTACCAGCACATAATTAAAATTGAATTTTAATATTACCATAAAAAAAAAACAGTTTCAAATTGAAACATTATCCATATGATTGTTTTAATGTAATCTATCGTAGTGCCATCTTGGATTAAACATAATAAGCATTACATTTGTAAAATGAAAAAATATCCAACTATTAAATTATTGACCTTGTCTTGTTAAATTAAACTTGTAAAATCTTCCATTGGCAGTTGATTTTGAATGATTAATGGAAACAGCCAGTTAACTAATTAAAACAAATTGGTTTCACATTCAGTTAAATAAACTCTTTAATGCCATTTATCTTCAAGGCTTATGCTGGCTTCAAATGGTTAACTCTGACTGATTCCAATCCATTTTTGTACGCTTTACACGACAAAAGAGCTAAAATTTTCCTCAATTGTAAATTGAGATTACATAGCTAATCGGTAAAAGTGAATAATGTTGGTGATGATTGATGGTTAATAGTGTAAAATGAAATAATCCTCGAAACTGGCTAAAGTGGTGTAAATATTTCGCAGCTTCTCAACCGACGATTCACCATTTGTTTCAATACACAAATTGTTTTCAATTTTCACTCTTTTCTTTACTCAATTGTGTTTTGACTCTGACAAGTGAGTATAAATCAGATTAAATGTTTAATAAAAAGATTGGATGCTCTTATTATTTTGATTACCATGTATCTCCAGAATTAAGTGTTTATAAGTTGAGAAGAGAGTTCATTACGAGTTCCTTTGAGGTGCTATTCAAGATCATTTTGACGACAATGAGTTAAGAGCCTCTTGTCAATATATTGAGTTGTTACAATTCAAAATATTGGTTGTTTCATTTTATCATCTTAAGCAATGATTAAATATGATTACTATTTTAACTGGTTGTCTCTATCCTTGCTTCTTGTGATGCTTCCAATTATTGGAACACTAAATCTCTTGACTGATTAAACCTCTTTAACCATGCTATTGACATCAACACTCATTAAAAATTGTTTCTTGTTGTCAACTTGACTCAATCACTTTTGAAGGTTAATTGAAAATTCAATTCTCATCAAATATGGACTGTACTCTGGATAGTGTTACTAGTTCAGATTTGAGCTCCAATGAATGTCAACCATGTGTTTATTAATGAATATCAGACTCGTGATAGTCAAGATGTTAACTAGACATGAATGTAATTCATTATGATGTGCAATTGAAATCGACCGATGACCAAGAAATGGTTGCAGTTTTCTGTTCGGAAAAATTCGAAGGTGCGTTGAGCTCCGCTTTTGGCGAGCGATCGTCTGGCCTAACATTTATGTATTTTTAATATTTATTGCTTAGCTTTGAAAGTTGAACGTTAACATCTAATCATTTTGATGTTTTTTTCTCACCCAAAGATCAGATTTTACCGAATTTTTGCTCCAACACCTTTTCATTTTGATTGGTGGATTTTACCCATATTTTACTTAAATAATAGCTTTGAATTTATGATTAACAATGTGATCATTACAAGCTTTCTCTAAATCTGCCAGGAAACGGTTCAATGTTGACTCAGTGAAGTTGTTTGATTCAACAAGATTGGCAAAAACATACATGAATTTCATTCCATCAGTATGAATACCCAAGTTAAGGCAACTTGACTGGAACTTTTTTGCTACTTTTGAGTATGTTGAATGATTAACTAATGGTTGTTGAGTTGACAGAATTTTTTCAACATCTGAGCAATAACCATTGAAACAAAGTTGAGAGACGATATTTTCCATGCTTGCTTCAAGGAATCGTCGACCATCAATCAAAGTTTGTAATTCTTTAGCAAGAACAGCAGCTTCAGCAGCATCATCTGTACGCTCTATTTTACGTCTAAGCATCACTAAAGGTACATCTCTAGAGTTTACGAAATCTTTTGGATAGCTTCTAGCAGCATGAATCTTACTCGAAGTATTTTCACCAAGGAATTGACCAACATTCAGACTAGCAATTGACTTTTGACCAAATTGTTGTGGATGTGATTTTATAGTGCCTTCCACAACATATTTGAATTGTTGTTCCAAGGTTTCTATCGCCAAGTCATTAAAGTCAGAGTTATAAAGCCAAGAAACTGAATAATCATCACCAAGACAAGTATGAAATTCAGGCTCATCACAATAACATGCATAGCTTAGTTCTACAGAGTTGGCAGAAGTAGTAGCATAAATGTTTATATTATCGGGTAAAATGTTTTCAAACATTGAACCAGAATTACATGCTTCCAAGTAAAATACAAGTTTGTCATACATTTTATGCTCATGCATATAAACTAAAGCTTTGTTCAAATCATCTGAAGAAAGTGCACCAGTTGGGAAACCAATAAGGCCAGTAGCTCCGTGATTAGCGCAATAAATGAATACATGGTCGTTTGGTCCAGAAGTGAGTACTTTCTTACCTTTGGCAGCAAGATCTTTGTCGCCTTTAAGCACACCAAGAAAGTTTTCAGGAGTTAATTCCATACCTGTATAATCTTTCAATAGACCAGCATAGACATCAGGGCCAAAAGGAACATTGAATATTTTACCAGGATAAGGATTTTTGCTATTATTGGCAATATCATCGTATATCATGAGAATAATGTTTTCAATAGGAACTCCGTGATTTCTCAAGACTTGATAAGCATGGCAAACATCGGCTTGATGATGATAATTGTCGTATGTATTTGATCCAGCAACCAGGACAGCATGGATATTGTAATCATCAGTTGACCTGGAACCCAAAAATTCCTCCAAAGGAGTTGAAGATGAAAGGGTAAAAAGTATTGGGAAAATGATTAAAAATGGAAACATAGTTTAAGTCTAGTGTTTGGTACTGTTTGATGAAAAATTGATTGAATAAATGAATGGTTAATTTTTCCATTTTTGTATTGAATTTCATATTTTATCGCTTATCAAACCATACAATCCAAATCTTATGTTATAAAAAGGTATCAAATGACATTTATTGTCACGATAAATATCTGATCAATTAGTTGTTTTTTTAATATAACGTAAATCTTAATGAACTTCAAAATGTTAATATTTTAATGTTAACTCACACAACAATAAACCAGATCTATTATTTGTGTATCTCAAACAAAATAATCAATATCGGTTTCTTGTTAAAATGAAACATTCATCGAATAGACGGAAAAAAGATCAAAGGATGGTATACGGTTGATGAGACAGGTGCCACTTTGTCATATTTGTTAGACTCCTTTGCATGTCCGTCTCATTCATGTTTTGGCTATTTTTCATACTGTTTGATATTGACATATTTTGCTTTAAGAGTTAATTGATCTTTTTACAGAATTTGATTCAAGGTTTGAATCCGAGACATTGAATTGAATTTGTTTATAAGAAAATAACGGGCAGATGATGAATGAAAGATTAAGAGGTTGAAAGTTATTATTATAAATAATGTTTCTAAGAAACCAGAATTATTAAGGAACGATGAGTATCAATTAGTCCAGAATTTCACCCCAACAGTGGATTAAGAATTGCGATGCATCACCAAGGTGCATGAGTGGCATTTGCGGCTACTGAATGGGTGTAATTAAAGAAAGAGGGGAAATATTAGGTGCGGGAATAAGTTTCCGCCTTTTTTTAAAGAGGTTTCTTGGTAATACTTGCTAGCAATTACACAGCTTTCCATTGTTGATTCATTATAAATTGTGCTACATGTCTTTCAAGTTGAATTTAAATTTTGGCCGTCAATCATTTAAATTACGAATTTTTAATCTTCAGCGAAAAATCAAATGAGATTATCAAATCGGAAACTATTCTATGCAAAACACTGTTATTTTGAGGTTTCAACTAGTGACTAGTTTCCTTTATTTACATGAACATTATCTGATACACAAAAAAAGTGTTCGTTGATGGAAAATATGATTTGATATGAATTATGGTTCTCTTCCTTTCATCTAAAAGTTTAATGAGGACTTCATCGGACCACAACGGATTTGTTTAATAACTTGACAGCGACAGTCTCTTCAATCACGATATCCTCTTCAGCATTGAATTGTTGGAAAGGCCAAAATGAATGTTATACAAAGAGTAACCAGAGAAGTGACGAATGATGCTGTGATGGTAAATAGATTAGCAAATGTAAGTCCAATATCATTACGGCCCATTCTGTATACAAGTAAAGAAGTCTAACAAACAATTTGAACAATATAATTAGCAATTATTTTAAGCTATAAATCATAGTCAGTCCGATAAATTTTGACTTTGCATTTATCGATAATGACTTTTATTACTTTTTTGATACTTAGTCGAGTCAAGCTATCAACACTATTTAATTTGCAAATATTGAATTAAAATTGATCAAGCCTGTTGTTTACGAGCGTTTAACCATTTTGATCATACTGTCAATATTTATATCAACATTGTTATTAACAAGTAAATTAAAGATAAACATAATAAGTAATGTTGACCTTCCTTACTTTTATCAATTGCAATCCCTTTTTTAATGAAAAATGGTCAACTATTATGTTGATAAAACTTTTCATCAACATTGTTATTAACAAGTCGAGATAAATAAATATTAAGTCATTTATTTATAATTGTAATTTCTTAGCAAGCTTACCTCTGCAAAATGATTTGGGCTGTTCGCAATAAAAGTCAATTGATATGCATGATGAAAACCCTTTGAGGCCAAATGATTTATTTTGATTGCATAGTACGTGAACATAGCAGCCACTGAGGTGACAACAACTTGTACACCAGTCCCAGCAAAATAGTCATTCAATGATTCTGACAAGAAAATGATGCTATAAAGATTAATCAGAATAAATGAAACCATAATGGAATAATTGGCTGCTGTAAAGTAGCGAACGAATTGATCGGCTTTTAGAGCCAATTGTGAACCGACAGAGTGCATAAAACGAATTGATCTAATGTTGTCGTCAACTGAGTCAGGATGTTCAATCAGATGCTCGAGTCGTTGATTAACACGGATAAATACGGTGCAAATGATGAGTGCAAATTGCAACGGAAAATCACTAACCAAACTGAATAAAAGAGAGTAAGTGAAACTTATGCAAATGACTGTGGCGAAGTGACATACACTGATTTGGTGTAGTCTTTGACCGTATTGTGGGCTGAATAAAGAGACTGTAGTTGTGAAAAGAATATCAAGAGCGAAAATAATGACACGATATTTTTTACGTTCCCTTTTGATGTAATTGATTATCTCTTCATCATCTTGTAGACCAGTTTTAGTCCAAATTTGGATAAATTCAACAAATCGTTTCCAATCAGATACAAATACCAGGAAAAAGTAATCAATGATTATTGAAATTCCAATTAAAAACTGCAAAACACAAAAAATCTTTTCACGTAAAGTTTTGGCGGTTAGAATATTTACATAGGCATTGAACATGATAATGGATCCAATTGATGCTGTAAGTAACAAAATGACTGCCAATAAGACATAATGTACCTTTTTGCCTTTTTTGTTGATAATTATCATGAAAATACTCGATACATCAATATTGTTATTCATTTCGTGAATCACTTTTTTATTCACTTTACATTTATGAAGTTGTTGAAATAAGCAATAATCTATTGGGAGCAATGAATGAAGAGCTTGATGAAATGCATGATCACTAATATCATCAATATTTTAGTGATGGATGGCAACTGCTCAAGTCCACTGTCAGATGTTAATGGTGAGCAAATTTTGTGAACAATTGTCTTTAGAACTCAGAAACTTATTGCCAGAAATTTGAGTGAGAACCGTTCTTAACTAAAGATAATGAGAAATGATGTTAACTCAATTCTATGATAAGACAAAATATTGTCACCGAGTTCGAGTTGCAGTTTGGTTAATTGATAAGTCTGGCGACCAAAGTTTTAGGATTAGGAAAATACAACCAAATCAATACTTTTAATTTTATTCTTGTTTAATTAAAAAGATACAAAGTACAATGTATTATAATTTGAACTTGAAACCAACTTTGATGTGACTTTTTCGAACTTAACTTTGTTTCAACTTTTCACTCTCTTTTATATAACCAAGTTTCCCTCAAGGAGAGTTGAACCCACATTGAATTTAAACTTTAACCATAAGCACCTGATCTATAACTTGAATCTATTATGGTATTTGTAGAGTATTTATTTCAGAGAATTAAGCCTTTTCCCGGCTTGACGAGTTTCAGCGTCTATTTGAGTTTGATAAAGTCTACAAGTTTTCCTCTGATGTCGATTTGCCATCAATAAGTCTATGCAATAACTCCTCTTTTAGCAGCAAATTTAAATCCAACGAATCCACCAGCAAACGCCAATATAAATATTATTGTCCCCAATCCGATTGCTAAATTGAAATTACTTGATTTAGTTGGAGATGGTTTTATTAATTCAGATGGTTTTGGGTCAGTTTTACTCTTTCCAGTAATCTTCTTGTGATTTATGTAAATTGAGCAAATTTTGCTGTTGCTTTTTGATTCTTCAAATAGTTGAAGATCATTAATATTATTTGGTTTCAAGTTTGTCAATGAACAACTCGATAATGAAACACTATTATCGGAAATTTGATTATAATCAATTGTTTCACAAAACTCGAGAGTAAAACAATTAGGATCTGAATTGCATTCGGAAGCACAGTGTTCTAATGATAGATGGTCAAAGATACCAACAATTGATTTTTTCATATCATCTTTCAATGCAAGTCCAATTTTATGTTCATAATCAAGTTCAGACTTTTTGTAAAAAGTGAAAAGATTGAATAATTAGTAAACATTAACCAGACTTTGAGCAAAGGTTGGATTAAAGAAATAATTTTACTTGAATAGTGGGAACATCCAGCTCCAGCAAACTTCCAGTTTGTCGCATTTATTTGATGAGCTTTATCTATCACAATGTGGTTAACATGCAAGAAACATAGAGATTGATTCCTGGATAGAATGGGAATAAAAAATAACAAAAAAAGAAACTTCATTATTATATAATTCGAAATCATATTTAGATTATAGAACTGCAAATACAATTAGTGATTAATTTTCTCAAATCTGTCACACTTAAAATTGTTGCTGTCTGTTTTCATAATTTTATAAATAAATAGTTTGGCTTTGTATCAATCAAACTCTGATAAAATCTAATGCTTTGAGTAACCGTCAATATTTAGATAAAGTACATTAGCGACAAAGGCGGCAAAATCCTCAGGTTGATATTATTAGTCCAACTTACCGGTTATTATTGTTTTCACAGTAATCGAATGATTCACAATTGAATGATTCTGATTGAGCACATGTACTAGCACAATCAGCAATTGATACATCATATGTGGTTGAGATGGCATCCACAACTAGAATTTTTCCAGGATACTCATGGAATAGATTGATAAATGATTCTAAATTGAAATTGAGCAATGAAATTAGCTAAAGAACTACAAATCAATATTTTAACGTATTTACTTTGATAGATGTTACATCCATCTACATGACTTGTTTTGTCTTCAAGTGTGTCTTTCAATGAACTCGATGTTTCTCCACTCAGAATACATTCCTTATTCTGGTTAACACAATATGAAAGTGTGTTACAATCATCATCATTCAAACAAGCCATGAAACAATCGTTAAGAGTACTTTTCTCCATCTTGAATTGTGCTTCATTGAAATGGCGATCAGTTTTAATGATCGGAAAATCTTCACCTCTTAAAGGTCTAAAGGAACCTTGTCTATGTAATTCTTGGGAAATGTCGCCAATCTCTTCAGGTCCATTCACAATGAATAAATCTTCAGCAGATGCACCGATATTGGGTGAACGAAATTCGCCTGCAGAGATTTTATTTTTTATCTGTTGTAACACGTGTGCCATTGTCGACAAATAATTTTTATTAACGAATGGACTAACCTCCTTTGTAGATCTAGTATAATATGTGCAGTCTGGTTCGTACACTCGCTCGGCGTAATAATCATAACTTGTGAAAATTGAACAATCATAATTGTCGCAATAACTAAAATCATTACAGATACGATTTGCACTGCACAGTTGTTCACAGTCCTCGACTTTAGATCTTTTTAAAGTATTCGATGGATGCAAAATTGTGGATCGATTCGAACGACGATAAGCATCAATGAAATGTACTCGATCATAAAGCTTAACAGTAACATATACATTAGAATCAACTTCTTGTGCATGAATGTCACCAATGCGAGTTATTGGAATGAATGAAGTCAAGTATTCTTCTGTTGATTCCTTAATTGAATTCGCTCAGCGAAGGATTTGAAAAGAGAATTTGAAACCAAGTATAGCTTCCAGGTTCTTCATAACAACCAGAAACATCGAATCGATCTTCGTAATCAATGTAAACGTCTTCGTAATTAATTATGGTTACTTCAACTTGAATTTCATAAGAATAAAAATCGCTTGGATCCTCAGTAAATATGACTTTACTTGGAACAGAGTTACTTGTATTTTGAGTATAATAATAGTCAACAATGGCAGCAATACCATTTCTGAAGAAGTTAGTTGCTTTGTATTCTTCCACCCGAAAAGGTCCTAAAGGTATATCACCAATGAAAGTGAGTGCTTGATCTTTAGGTGGTTTCATTACCAGATAATAAAATAGATTGAAGCCACGATCATGATGAAATGGCCAACGGGTGATCAAAGTAGCATCATCAGAATAATCTGATGTTAAATACTGGCATCGACCAGTGTGTTCATCAACTTCAAATCGTCCTAAAGGAGGTGGCATTTCAATGGAACGAACGAAATCAGTTTCTTCTTGGATTTCGTACGAAATAACATCGCCTCGTTTCATTACTCGAGCAGTTGATTTGATAGGGTAACTGTTAGGATAGGTTATTATCGCTTCCATGTCCATTGTAAACTTATTAACTTGACCAAAATTTGGTAATGGAGTAGATGGAAGAGTACCTTTACGAGCACATCCATAACCCAATGGATACGGAATGGAATCATCTAATGATATGACCAACGGTTCAAACATGTAAAAGTTGTATACATATTTTGAATCGGAATCAACTTGCTTTTGGACTGTTCGAGTATTTCGAGTATTGTTTATTGAAATCGCCTCCTGAGTCTCAATCCATTTAGGATAATACAACGAGAACCGATAAGGCAATGAAGTCTTAACATCAAAGTAAAAGTCAATGTAAGGTCCATTAGGGTTGCTACAATAAAACCAGTAATTAACACTACGACCTTCAATCAATTCGGATCCTATGAAGGAAGCTTTATCACTAATATTCTTGGCATAAACCATCAACACTGTTGGTCCCAAATGAACCAAATCTTTGAACATCTCTGAAGAAGCGACAATATCTTTTGGTTTGAACCAATCTTTGATCGATTTAATCTTCTCATTCTGAGTTAAGTCTAATCTTGTACATTTATTTTCTCGAACGGCAATCTTTTCCTCTGTTGAATGATAATAATAACGTCGATTCATTTTATCTTGAATGGTTGCTTCCAAGTCAATAAAGCCAACTTTATTTTGTAGATCATAATAATCATGGACCAAATTTTTTCGAGTTGGATTAATTACTTCAACAGAAGCATGATAACCAGTTTGTTTATCAATCAAATTGAGAACATTTGGAACTTTTAATTCACCAACTTTACCCCTTTCAGGGCATTTGAAATCATCACAAAGAATTGAGTTTATTGAGTAAAGAAAACAAATTAAAAAAGAAAAGTTGTGATCGATTTTCATCTTCTAATCAATTGATGTTGAACTGGCTTCAAATAGTAGCTTCAATATTCAATTTTCAATGCAATAAACCAATTGAAAAACTTACTTTAATATTATTCGAACAAAAAGAATCTGAAAACAATCAAATGTTTTAAAGATTAGCACGTGATCAATTTATTAACATTCGAAGGGGCGTCAGAAGATCATCTCGTTTTAATCTCATTCATATTATAAGGTGTGAAAATCGGATGGTTATATTAATTGTGACATTAACTATGACCATTTTGATCTATTATATATTTTATGGAACAAATATGATTGAACTAGATTAAAAAATCAATAGTCGCATCTTTAAATTTCATTGATTCTGTCAATTTACA